GGAGTCTGCTTCTCCCTCTGGCCCTCCCCCATCTCATGTACTCCCTCTCTCTCATTCTCTCTCTCTCAAATAAAAATAAATAAAATCTTAAAAAAAAAAAAAAAAAAGAGATTCGATGGTTAAGGGGCACCTGGGTGGATAACTCGGTTGAGCGTCCAACTCTTGATTTTGGCTCCAGCCCTGCTCTCAGGGTGGTGGAATCAGGTCCGACATCGGCTCCATGCTCCCGGGGAGTCTGCTTGGGACTCTCTCTCCCTCTTCCTCTGTCCCTCCCCCACCAAAAAATAATTTTTTAAAAAAAAGAATTTAAGACTACGGCACAGGGCAGACCTTGGTTCTGCTACTTGGGCAAGTTACTCAACCTCTTTGAGGTCAGATTCATCTTCTGTAAAAGGGGAAATGGTTCTAGTACGTTCCTCATAGACTTATGGAAAGGCCTAAATCCGATAATGAATGGAGAGTGCTCAGCACAGCGTCTGGGACCAGCTGAGTCCCTGGAGGTTCTTTGAGGGAGGGTGAAGGGACATGGCTGCGAAAGTGAATCTCCTGCCCTCCACAGCTCTAAACCCACCCCTCTGCTCTTGCGGAGCCACTCACAGAGCTGGCCTCAGTCCGTGCATGGTGGCCAACCTGCGTGGGGTGGAGTGAGGGGCCCCAGCCTCCCAGTGGACTGGGGACCAGAGGTGGGAGGTGGACAGATCAGCAGGTGAAGTCCCTGCCAGCTGTGACCACCAGGGGGCAACCCCGCCCCAGAGATGGCCTCACCCAGGCGGACACACCGACTCATCAGAAGGCGTCTGTTCCTTGGCTCGCGCTGAGGTAAATTGGGACAGAAAGTGACAGCCTTGGGTGTGGTCGGCCGGCCCGCTAGGCAGGCCCATGGCCTGTAGGAAACCCTCAAGCCTGAGGCGAAGGCCCAGGCGGTAACTCTGAGTCTGCTAGCCGTGACCCTGGGCAAGGCACTTCCCTCTCTGGCCCAGTTCACGGGGTGTAGAACAGACCCCAAGACCGGCATGGTTCTAGGATTCGAGGCTGGGGCAGTTTCTTCTTTCTCACCCCCAGCCCTTCTCCACCTCAGGGCAGCACACACTCGGGCAGGCGGGGAATCTGGCCAGGGAAGCCACGGGCCACAGACCATCCCCCAGCTCCAAGGCACTGGGACACCATTGGAGGGAGGGGAACCCCGGGTGAGGAGGAGGAAGGGCAAGGTCAGGTGAACCAAGAGACCCAGAGCCTCAGGGGTCTTGCTTCATTTGGGACGGACATCCGGTTTCCTCTGGTTTCTGCCAGGATTCTGGGGGCTTAAGGGAATGAGTCACGGGGGGGATTGGGGAGTTCCCAGCTAACCAGTTCAGGACAGGAACCTGGGATGATGCCCATCAAAGTGTGGGGTGGAGACAGGAGGCAAGACCCCATTGTCCCTACCTCAGGCCCCTGGCCCCTCAGGAAGGGACTCAGGAAGGCAGCCTCCTGGGAGTTTGGGGGGTAGAAATGGGGGCAGCTAGGTTCTTCCCTCTCAGAATTTGGGGTCTCGGGAGCAGGTAGCTTGCGAACCCCAAGGGAGAGTGCAAGTGGGCTGCTCCAGCTGACCCGCCAGGGGAGGGAGTGGGGAGGGGCCGCCTGGAGGCCTGCCTCTCCCCCCCCCACACACCCCTCCCAGGTCAGTGTGACCAGCCTCCAGCCTCCAGGGCTTTTATCAGTGGCTCAGCCTTCGTTCAGCGGTTTTGATCAAACACCCTGGGGCAACTTCGGGCCTGGGTGGGGCTGAGGGGAGGAAGAGAGTTTGAGGGGGACCAGACGTCAAAGAAGGATCAGGGATTCCACAATTTCACAAAACTTTCGCAAACAGCTTCTTGTCCCAGCCCCCCTGCATTGTCCTGGACACCTAATTTGCATAAATCCTGGGAAGTCATTACTAAGCCTCCATCGTGGCACCAGGTAATTTCCTCCCAGGCCTCCATGGGCTTCCATATAAAGGTCCGCTGGAGCCGGTCCCTGCCAGAGCCCAGAGCCTGCCGACCCACGCAGACCTTCGGCTAAGCCTGCTGCCCAGAGCCCCATGAAGCTGACGGGTGAGTGTCCTGGCCCCCGGGGAGGGAGGCTGGAGTGGCCGAGGGGCTGCGGCGGCCCTGGGCCCTGGCACGGGCCCCAGGTGGGAGCAGTCCGCCTGTCTCCTGAGCCCCCCGTCTGCTGTCAGCCCTTCAGCTGCTGCTGTGGCAGAGCGCACTCTGGCTGGTGCCAGCAGCCGCCCCCCTGCGCCCGACCAGCTCGCTGCCCCAGAGCTTCCTGCTCAAGTGCCTGGAGCAAATGCGGAAGGTCCAGGCTGATGGCACAGTGCTGCAGGAGAGGCTGGTGAGTGAGAGGCGCGGAGGGGACGCGGGTGCTGGACAGGGGTGGAGGAGGGAAGAAGCCCCAGAGGGCTGAGCTGCAGGGAGGGAGGAAGGGGTGAGGGCTGAGGGAGGGGAAGGGAATGGCGAGAAGACATCATCAGGGAGGCGCGTGGGAGAGGAGAGACCCAGGGGGAAAGGGAAGAACATCAGGAGAGGTGGAGCCGGGGAAGGCTGGCTAGGAACTGGGGGAAGAGGGTGTCTCGGGGACGGTGTCCGGATGGCCAGGATTGCAGCCGAGGGCAGAATGGGGCTGAGCAGCCCGGCGGGACTGGGAGGGAGGGGAAGACCTCGGAGAAATGGGGAGGACTTGGGAACAGGAGCAGCCGGGCCCCATCAGGTCCCCCTCACTCAGCATCCTTCCTGTCCCCAGTGCGCCACCCACAAGCTGTGCCACCCCGAGGAGCTGGTGCTGCTCGGACACGCCCTGGGCATCCCCCAGCCTCCCCTGAGCAGCTGCTCCAGCCAGGCCCTGCAGCTGGTGAGTTTCCGGAGGGGAGGAAGGGGCGGAGGGGAGGGAAGAATGGTCTGGAAGGCTCTCTGGACCTCTAGGCCTTGAAAGGAGCGCCCCAGGCAGCACCCCCTAACTCCCCTACTCCGTCCCCCAGACGGGCTGCCTGCGTCAACTCCACAGCGGCCTCGTCCTCTACCAGGGCCTCCTGCAGGCTCTGGCGGGGATAACCCCCGAGTTAGCCCCCACCTTGGACATGCTGCAGCTGGACATCAGCGACTTTGCTCTCAATATCTGGCAGCAGGTAAGCCCCACTGGGAGCGGCAAGTGTTAGGGGCCTGGACTGAGCTGGTCCCCAAAGACCAGGCTGCAAGCCTGGGGGTCCCAGTTCTTTAGGGCCAGGGTGGGAGCCTTCTCAGGGCCCTCTTGCTGCCTCGTGGAGGGCGGGAGCCGGGTCACTGGGCCCTGATGCAGACCTGGGTTCAAGGCCACCATTAACTGTGTGGCGTGAAGGGCCCGCAGCCCTTCGCATTTCCTTAATCACGCCCACTCAGCAGGGCCTGAGTGCTGATCTCCTCTTTGCCCCCACAGATGGAAGAGCTGGGGCTGGCCCAGGCAGTGCCGCCCAGCCAGGGCACCATGCCAACCTTCACCTCGGCCTTTGAGCGCCGGGCCGGAGGGGTCCTGGTGGCCTCCAACCTGCAGAGCTTCCTGGAGCTGGCCTACCGCACTCTGCGCTGCTTTGCCAAACCCTGAGCAAAACCCTCCCCAACCAGTGTATTTATCTTTATTTAATATTTATGCTTATTTAAATCTAATATTTAAAGACAAGGAAGAGCAGGACGGAGCCCCGGACTCTCGGGTCCTTCCTGCCGTCTCCAAGTTCCATTCTCCTGCTTGTGGCAGGGAGAAAAGCCCCCATCTTCCTGTCCCCTGGACTGGGAGGTAGCTATAGGTAAATACTGCGTATTGAGTCCTGTGACTGCTCCCTGGCCTGGCTCCACGGTGGGCACTGGGAAGAACCCCAGTGAACTCCTTACCCCAGCGGTACCCACCTTGAGGCCCCTGGAAGCATCAGGAAGTCTCCCATGTGGGAGACAAGACAACCCTGTTTAATATTTAAACAGCAGTGTTCCCCTCCTGGGTCCCCCTCGCTCTGGCCTCACCAGCTTGGCTTGCACATGCCCGGTGGGCCAGGTCTTGCTTCTCCTCACATCCCCTTCGCCACCAGCATTAGGCCCCACGGGAGGTGGAGAGCCTGGGCATCGTTTCTCATCTTTCTGGATGCCCTAGAGTGACAATGACAGGCTCCTGACGCCTGCCCCAGCCTCATTAGGGTCAGGATTCTGACTCTTCAAGGGCTGGGCAGAGGCTCATGTATCAGCCTTGCTGGGGGGGTGGGGGGGGGGGACTGGGAGGATGGGAGGGGGAGATGTGGGGGGGTTATATGACAAGGTATATGAGAGGAATGCTCAGCTCTTCACCCTCCACCTCTGCCCCCACTTTCTCACTGTAGCCAAACTTTGTGATAATAAAATATTTTGTTTGTCTCTGCTAAGTGTCTTTTCCTCCTTCTTGAGTCCAGCTGGTGCCCAGCCAGGGGTTGGGGGGGCGGGGAGTTGAATAGTGAATGAGGCCAAAGGGAGGGAAAGAGGAGGTGCAGGGAGGAAGGGGGCAGTCCTCTAGCTCATCAACACTGATGCCTTTGGCACGGATTTCTCTTGTACCTACTCTGTGCAAGCACCAGGCTAAGTGTTAGGGACACGGCAATGGACAAGGCAGGCAAGGTCCCTGCCCTCACGGAGACCCAGCCTAGTGGGAAGACAGAAGGTAGACGGGCCACCATACTGGGAGAGGAGAACGTGGGGTTGGGGGCAGGGGGGAGTCTTAATAGTCCAGACGCAGACAGACACCAAAGCAAGGGAGGATTTAATATTTGCCATCTTCCATAAACTCCAGCACACCCGCGCTCACCGTTGCCCACAGAAATAGAATGAGAAGCCCTTTACAGATCAGGCTCTGAGTTCAAGGTGACAACTTGGGTCAGAACTCAAATTCCCGGCCCTGCACTTCTCTCCCTCAAGCTCTGCCTCTGATCGGGCCGGGAGCAACCTCATGCCACCCGTCACTTTCCCACTGGTCTCAGCCTCACGGGGCGGGAGGGCAGGTGCGTGTGTGAGAGAGAAGCAGAGAGCGGAGGGGCTGCTTCACATCACAGGCCGGAAGCACTCCTCTCTGTGTCCTCAGCCAAGACACACCTGTGGTTCCAGGGCGCCTCCACCAGACCCGGAAAGTCCAGATGGCCAACCGGTCCCCCATCTCAGGGCTTCCCCTGGGCTCCTCAGCTGCCTCCCACTTCCCCTCTCCATCTGGCTCCTTAGAAAGGAAGGTCTGGCTGAGCAGGGCCAGAACCCCCAGCTGCGTGGCTCAGAGCCCTCCCTCTGCTTGGTCCTGAAGAAACCGGGGCTTGGAGATGTGTGGAGAAGACAAGCAAGGGTTAAACAGATCCTGCCCCTCATCGCCCAGTCCTCTCCTGGAGAGAGATCAAACTCGGGGCCAGTCAGACTCTGGGTGGGATTGGGTCTAGTGGGAGAGGGTCAGAAGGACAGGACACCCTACCCCAGCACCAGTGGGGCCTTTCGCCAAAACCTCTCCCTTCTCAGAGTTAGGTCTGACTTTGGGGTGTGGGGGTGGGTGGCACACGTGCGTGTTGACTCCTTGTCGCCCAGTGCGGGTCTGAGGAAGGGAAGCCCTGCCCCTGCGGAGTGGACAGACACAGGAACCTGAGCCCAGCCCTCCTCCGTGCACCCCTCCCGCCCTCCTCAGCCACAGGACTGAGCCTCTTCCTAGGCCACAGCACATGGGATTCCAAGGAGATGATGTTTCCTGCCTCCATGGGATGTGGGCACTGACACCACTTGGGACTCTCACACAGGGACCCACAAAGATCTTTATTTACAAATGAGCTGAGGGGAACTTCCCTCATGTGTTACAAAAATATAAATATACATACTCTGCACCTGCAAAGTTCCCAGAGCTACATCTACTGTTAGAAGGGGGAGGCGGGCAAGGCAGGGGTATGGGGTGCTGAGCGCCCTGGGCTAAGAGCCAGGCTGCGCACACTCTTTAGGTGCTGGCTGTGGGCAGAGGAAATTATGAAAGAAACTGGGAGACGTCTTAGAGGTCAGATGTCAGGATAAGGGAATGATCTGGAAATGACATAGGGCTCTTACATCATGTGGATATGAGCAATGATGTCTCATCTTTCCTCACTGTTCTCTTCTGAGGCACCTGGGGCTGTGGTCCCCCAGACGGCCCCTGCGGCCACCCCAAGCCCGTCAGAGCGCAGCAATGGCCTTGGCAGCCACCTGGCGGCCCAGGGACAGGCTGAGGTCCGTGATGGCCAGAACCACCTTGGGGCTGGACATGGCTGACACCTTCACCAGTTCTGATACCTGCCACAGACAGACAAATGGCTGCTCGCTGGGGCTGCCTGGTGGTGGCTGCCATGTCCGGGGAGGAAGGGCTCCTACTCCGAGGGCTGCCTCTGAACCCCAGGCTCTGCTGCCCCCATCTGAGCTGCGGGGGGGGCCCGCCCGCACCTGGGGGTGAAGCACTCACGGTGGTAAAGGGCATGAACTGCAGGATGCTGCCCCGGCTGCCTTGCTCCAGGCAGTCCACACACTCCTCCATGAACCACTGCACAAACTGAGTGTGCGGGCCGGCCGTCCGCGACCCCAGGATGGAGGAGATGAGCAGGAACAGGTTGGCTGTGCGGAATGGGGGGAGAGGGAGCACTCCGTGAGCAGGGTCTGAGAAGACGTGAGGCTGGGAGGTGGTGGCACCAAAAAGCAAAAAGAAAGAAGTGCTCAGAGTGCCCCCCTATGGGGGGGGGGTCAAAAAGAGGAAATGTGGAAGGAAAGCGAGAGGGACTGAATGGGGGCCTGGGGGTGACAGGAGAGCCAGAGCCCGGGGAGATGGAGGAACGAGGTGGGGACACTAACAAGGGTGAAGGGGCACCAAGAGGCCCCCCTCTAGCTGGCAAAGCCTCATCGGACCGGAGGGCGGTGGGAGGACTCACCCAGGACTCGGTTCAGCGGGTCTCTCATGTTAACCGTGTGCAGCTGGGAGGCTGACAGGGAGCTGCTCATGGAGCGGTCGGCTGTGGGGCCAAGTGGAGGGAGACTGAGGGAAAGGCCCCCCAGCTTCAAAACCCCTCTGCCCAGGGGACACCCTCATCTGTCAGGTGTGGAGCCCCCCGCCCCAGGGCGGGGGTCCAGGATCCAGAGTCACAGAGGGGCCCTGAATACAGGTATCTCAGAAGGAGATGAGAGAGTACATTTGGTGAGCACTGCCAGGCGCCAGTCTGCGGGCTACACACAGATCGGGCCGCATAATCTTCACACCCCCACTTCACGGACAAAAAAACCGAGACTCAGATTTGCTGAGTAACCAGCCAAAGGTCATAAGGTTTGTGGGTGGCAGACGTAGCATCTTTCCTCTACTCAACTGCACAGTTGGCACCCTAATGCCCAGGAGGCCTTAGAGAAACTTCTAGACCCAAGAGAAATTTCTGGAAACAGGAAAAATTAAATGCCATAGAAGAAGCCCTTGGCAGGGAGAGGTAATAACATCAAGGGGAGCCTGAGGGGGAGGGGTGCTCTTTAGGCAGGAAGAGTGGGGAGCGGCCCAGCCCCAGGCCAGGCCACAGGGCCTGTTTCAGGGGAAGGAAGGACAGAGCTGGTGAGTCAAAGGCACAGACTGTGCCCAAGGTAGTGAACTCACTTGTGGTGAGTAAAGGGTAGGGAAGGGACGGCAGTGTGTCCAGGGCTGCGGGGGCATCTGGACGGAAGAGCTTCAGTCTTTTGGGCGAGGTGCCCGGCAACCTCTCTGGTCTCTCCGCAGGTAGAAAACAGAGCAGCAGTGGGGGGCAGAACGGGACAAACTCCCACCACACTCTGACCAGCAAAGATGCCAGTGGCCGGTTCTACGCCAAGCAGCTTTTCCAGGCAGGAGTGAGTTCCCAGAAAAGGAGCCCACCCAGCCCAGTCTGCATGCTCACTGGGACTCGAAAGGATGTTGGCGTCTTCCTCATTGGAGCTCAGCAGTCGCATCAGCTTTGAGGGCTGCATGTCATCCAAGGGGAAGAGACTGATATAATCCTGGAGGGCGAGAGAGTCACTATTACCCGCTAGGCCCCAAACTTCCCGATACCAGAGAAGAGAGCTAGAGCTCATACAGGAGGAAGAGTCCGGTCCCCACAGGCCTCAGCTGACATCTCCAGCAGGGCCAGCTTCCCTCACCTTCCCACAACCCTAATGAGACACCCCCTCCTCACACAGTCACCCCTGGAGACGCTCAACCAGCTGAGCCGTGACGCAGCTGCCCAGGGGCAGGGCCTGGGCCTGGGAAGGTGCCTCTTACCCGCAAAAGGCTCAGTACATGTCTGCTGAGCACATGAACAAGTGAATGGAAGGGTCCCCTACCTCAATGTCTTCACGGTGTCTCTTCTTTTGACGGGAGGACGCCTGTCCCTTATGGGAGGAATAGGAACTCAGGGCACACCAGACGGCTAGCCTGGCAAAGGGTTCCAGGAAAAGAGGGTAAAGTCAGGGGGCCCCAGAGACGCCCTCTGTGCCAGGGCTGCCAGGGCTCCCCCACAGCCCAGCCTCCCGGGGCGGCCCGAGGTGAGGGGCACCCGGCACTGCGCCGTAGGGACCTGCGGCTCCGAGAGAATCCTACTTGGCAAGAGCGGTGCCGGGGGGGTCCATGAGGCTGTGCCACTTGGAGGAATCGGTGAGCAGCCCCGGCAGGATGTGGCCCAGCAGGACCAGGGTCACCTGCTGCATGTCCAGACAGAAGATGGAGTAGAGCAGCTCCACCGCCCGCAGCGTGTGCTCCTTCCGCGTCTCCTTCAACAGCTCCTGGACGCGCAGGGTAGGGAGATTAGGAGCTGAGGACCCCAACACGGGGTTCTCTGAGAGGGGACACAGGGGCGGCCCCAGGTGCAGCTCCAGCCCTCACTCCGCATCAGCCTCTGGCCACCGCTCCCTGAGGAGGTGGCCCCCCTCAGAGCCCAGGAGCCCCGAGACCAAGTCCCGCGGACCAGGCTGGGTGTAGGATGCTGGTTCTGCCCGGTATTCTCTCAGCTGTCTCCCTGAGTCTGAGGAGACCTGCTCCCCCAGCCTAGGTCTCCCAGGTACCTTAATCAGGTTGTTGCAGAACCAGTAGACACCTCCCATGTGCAGCAGGGTGTCAAAGATGTGGATGGAGCGGCTGTCCACCCAGCCCTTCTCCAGCACCTTGGCGAATATGTCCGTCAGCACCTCCTTGATGGGCCGCTTGGGGGGCAGCAGGTTCCAGTAGGGCATTGTGTCCACACCCGTGGACGGGAACTTGATCTGGGTGGCTGTCTGCTGCAGCACGTCAGCGCACATGTGCTCCAGGATCGAGCTCATGATCACCACCCTGGCGGACGGGGAGACGACCTGACGTTCAGGTTCAGGCAACACCAGGTTCAAGAACGGAGCAAACATCCAGGCCAGACTTTTCCCAGGACTTGAGTTACGGAACTATTCCTGGGGAATTAACCCCATTCTTCACCGAGGGAGGAGACAAGAAGAAGTCACAACCCCCTAGCAGACCTGACCCTACCAGTCCGGCTTCCGGCAGGCTGCTCGCCTGCTGGGCACAAAGCCTGGGGAGTGGGGGTGGGGGAGCAGTTTGCTCTCCTCCCCCAGGTTATTCCAGCGATATATTCATATTTCCTCTTTCACTGTCTCCAACTCTCCCCATCCCCCAGACCTGAGCCCTGCCAATCCCTGGACATAAATAAATATCATCACTTCCCTCTGTGCTGAGTGCTGGGGGGGGGGGTCCCCGCCCAGCCCTGGCCTCCTCCCAAAATAAACTGTTACTTCCAGGACAGGGGCCCAAGGGCTGCCCCACTCGACTCTTCCCGGCCTTTGGTAGCTGGGCAAATAGAAGCGTATATCCAGGAATGTTCTCACGAGCAGTCTTTGACTGAGTTAGCGCTCACACTGGGGTGAGTGCTCACCACTCCTGGAACCCTGGGTGGGTCTAAGAGCTGCTGCGACTTTCAGTGCCGCTTTCCCACCTGCATGATGCACCCACGGGTGTCCCACTGTTCCTCACCCAGGGTCAGGGTCAGGGTGCTTAGCACGGATTCTGTCAGAGCAAACCCTCCATTACTCGTGGGAGGAAGGATGTGAGGGAAGAAGAGAGAAGGAGGGAGGAAAAAGGTCACAACCTCACAGACCCTCTCCCACCACATCTTGGCACGATGTTCCCACTTCTCCCCTCTAAGGCACCTGGGTGGCTACCTGGGGAGTCCTCTCTCCTAGCTTACTGGTCGTGCATGCTCACTGCCTCGCAGCACTATGCCCAACAGCCAAGAGGTGGAAACTACCCAAGTGTCCATCCACCAATGCATGGATAAACAAAACGTGGCGCATACATACAATGGAATATTATTCTGAAGGGAACTGACACAGGCTACGACATGGATGAACCTTGGGAACATTATGCTAAGTGGAACACGCCAGGCACAGAGAGACAAGCACTGCAGGATTCCACTTACGTGGGGTACCTAAAGTAGTCAAATTCAGAGAAACAGAAAGTAGAATGGTGGTTACCAGAAGCTAAGGGAGGTAAAAGGGGTGAACTGTTACTTAATGGGTACAAAGTCTCAGATTTACAAGATGAAAAGGTTCTAGAGATCTGCTTCACAACAATGTGAATACCTCACACTGCTGAACTATATACTGAACTAAGATAGTAAATGCTATGTTAGGTATTTTTTACCACAATTTAAAAAAAAAAGTTACTGGATGGGGGAATCAACCAACACCACTGAACTCCACACGGATGAAGTCACCAGGGAGGTCCTCCAAGCTTCTGAAAAGCCAGGGCAGCAAAACGTCACGGGACAGAGGCGGGGGGAGGATGACGAGGGTGGGTGGGCCCAAGGCTCATAGATCTACGGATGGGCTCCCGGGGCCTACACCGTGCCGCAGCTAAGACAACCACTCTGTTCTTCCGGTAAGCTAGTTCTCCACAACTTGAGCTCTTTGAAGACAGGAATCATAGCAATTCGGGGGCTGTGTTTCTGGGACACAGCAGGTGCTGGGTCATAAACACTCCCCGCACAGAGACACACACTCAGTGTTGCTGAGTCAGTGTGTGAACACGTAAATAAGAATGGGAGTGAGTGAGGAGCCTGTCTAGGAACGTTAAGAGGAGAGGGGGCTACTGGTTACTGGAGATGCCGCCGGCTCATAGCAGGCCCTCCGCGCTCCCGGAGGGAGGGGACGGGTTACTGACCTCTCGTTGTAGAACTGCAGAGTGTTCTCACTGTACAGCGGCCCCGCCAGCTGGCGGATCATCTGCAGCGACTTCTCACGCTCGTCCAGCCCCAGCATCCGCACATGGGCCACGAGCCAAGCCACAGCACACACTGCCAGACTGCATACCTTCCCCTTGATGTTATCTGTGATTTTCTGGGGGGAGGGGAAAGGGTGACTGAGGCCACGCTCTCCCCCTCCCTGACCATCACTTTCCCCAGCCTCTGTGGGCAGCTGAGTTTAGCAGGTGGAGTCCTGGACCGCATCCCACACCTCTTTTCCCCACAAATATGCTTTTCCCGAAGTTACCTGGGTGGGAGGGAGTGGCTAAGCCTATGATTACAAGGAAGATCAACATCCAAGCATGAGCTCCTGGATTTAAGGGTCTTCTTGTTCTTATAAAGTGTAACAAGCTATCAAACACTGGCTCTGTGTCTCAGGGAAAAGAGAAGGCTACTGGAAAGGTGGGGCTACCTGGATGGACTCGAAGGCCAGTACCCCATTCTCCCAGGCATTGAGGATCTCCAAGATGGCCGCTGAAATGCTGAGACAGGCTTCGTGCCACTTCATCTGCCTATGAGGGGGTGGGGTGGGAGAAAAATCACCACGGGGGAGTGTGGGATGGACTGAGGAACAGGGTCGTGGCCTGCCCCCACCGCCACCCTTGGAGCGGGCACCCGGCCACTGACACCAGCTTCATCTCCGAGGAGTTGTTGAGCAAGGCCACCAAGGACTCCACTTTGGTGGAGTCAGGCCAGAAGCAGGGGTGGTCAGGGTTCAGGATTTTGCCCTCCTCGGGCATGCAAGTCTGCATCCACGTTTCAAAAAAGGGCACCTGTGCTCCTGTGCTCGACTCGGACAGAATCACCTGGAAAGGAAGGGGGCATCAGCAGCCAGTGCCCTGTGCCTCAGTTTCCTGCCCCACTGCTTCTACTTTCCAGCCTGAAGAACTGAAGACAAGTTGGTTGAAGGGAGAAAGATGGGGGCTGTGCTGCCACCTAGTGGTGGGTGTGGATGTGACACTGAAGGATTCAGGATGGGACCCAGGGGGCATCCATGGACACGCCAAGGGTGGGGGCACCTGCATTCTGCAGGCAGCAGAACGAACTGGCTTGGGAGACCGGGGGGGCCAAGTTACTGGTCACTTCCTTCCCCTTCTCCCCGCCCCTAATCCTGGTGCCCCTAATCCTGACTGTTCTCCTCTCTCTCACCTCTGAACCATAGGTCTGGGCCACGTGGCACAACATGAGGAAGGAGATGTCGAAGAGCAAGGCGCGAACGGAGGCTGCTTTGGCTACGGAGAACAAGATGGCTGACCCCACAGCCCCGAACAGGGCCCAGAGCCCTCATCTGAATCGGGAGGGGATCAGGATTTGCCTCAAGGAAGGTCAGTGACCAAGTGGCTCCTTCAAAGCTCTGAGGCTCAGAATCCTTTTCTTGAGTCTCAATTAGAACATCATCCCTTCCTTGGAATCAAAGACTCCTGATACCCTCCTTCTTCTTCCCAGTACCCAGCCAAATCATAAAGGGGGAGGGCAAGAGACAGAGGTGGTTTTGGAAGAATTCTTTTCCCAGCATTCCCCCATCAAGGCTCCACAAAAACTTCAGTCAGTCATTGCTCAGAGGAGAAAACAGCCTCCCCAGGAGAAGCAATGGGCCCTCTGCCCTCCCCCATTCTCTCCCTCCACCACTCCTCCCACAGTGCCAGGTCTGGGGGTGCACAGAGCTGACTTACCGAGTTCTTCATTGCCGTGTGTGGTAAATTCATTCAAACTGGGGGAGGAATGGAGACAGGTCACAGCAAGCAGGGCAAGGGGTCAGGGGGCTACACCTGTCCAGAAAGCATCACTAGAGTGTGAATTAGGGGTTAAACTTCAAATGAACACCACCGCTACACAGAAAAAAATGCTTTCTGTTTTTAAAAGATTTCCAAGGCAGGGCGCCTGGCTGGCTCGGTCAGTAGAGCATATGACTCTTGATCTCAGGGCTGTGAGTCTGAGCCCCACAATGGGTGTAGAGATTAGTTAAAAATCTTTAAAAAAAAAAAAAAAAAAAAGATTTCCAAGGCCCAGAGAATGGCTCACTGGATGGAACAAAGTTCTGTATATCAAATTCCAGGTCAACCAAAAAAGTCAACAGTGTTTGAGAGCCCCTTATTAACAACTGGGCACACCCGAATCCCTCCACGTCCACCATTCAATGCCTCTCATCTCATCAAACACCTCCACCTCGTGCTCAGCTGCAAAGAAAAGAACACTTGACACCCAAAGACCTGGCCCTTCCCCCAGAGTCTCCCACTGGGATGCTCTGGCTTGTCCTGGGCATCTCCAGGGAGACCCAGACCCCAGTGCCTTGCCCCTATTCTGCGACACTCCCTCCTTCAGACCTGCCTCCCTCACCCTGGACAGGGGCCCAGCCTTCCTTACTTGATGAATTTCCGGGCGAAGGATTTAAGCTTCCCCGTGGCAGCAGCGGCAGCCAGCAGCAGATCCAGACTCTTCCCGGACAGCATGTGGCCCAGGACTCCTAGCAGGCCCTCTGGGGACTTGGAGTGGTCTGCATCCATCGTCTGGGGACAGGACAGGAAATCAAGTCCTGAAGAACAACTGCAGAGCCCCTGAGATAGAGCCCGACCACAGCTTCCCTCCCTGCATGTCTCCATTAAATGGCATACCGCAACCTCCATCTGCAATTCAATCTACATCCTTCTGACTCCGATCTGGAAAACCATTTCCCAAATCTATCCTTGCTCTCTGATCCATCCCTCCCAACTAAACTGCGATCGTGGTAGTGGGGGTGGGGAGGGTAAGATTCTCCACTGCTTCCGAGGGAGCAGGTGGAAGCCCCCCTACCACAGGGCCTGCCCTCCAAGTAATGCTCAACAAATGTGAGTTTTCAATGGCAGCTTCCCTGCCTTGCCTGTTTCTCTAGCCAAAAGATAGGGAGGTCTACGGCCTCAGTTTATCTATATGGAAGCAGAGGCAAAAGTGGAAAAAAGGAAGAGATGACCCTGGAGGCAAGAGAAGGGCACACTCACCTTAAGGATATTCGTGACAGTGGGCTCCGCCCGGAGGATCAGCCCAGGATTGGGCTGGATGTTGGCATTTTCTCCTGATTTCAGCTGGGGTGCATGCTCCCGGTCTGCCGCGCTGTGGCCAGAAGCCGTTGGCCAAGAGAAGGGAAAAGAAATGGAGACTGGTTCCTGACGTGCTCCCTAGTCCGGCCCCAGAAGCAGAGGCTCAGGGAAGGTGGGGAGCACAGGAGAAGCTCTGGGGGCGTGGTGATGTTTATGAAAGCATATCCACTGTTGCAATTGCTTGTCTGTCACTAGGTAATTACCTCAATTTTGAAAGTTCACTTCAGATTAAAGGAAGATTTAGGATTTTTACTTTGTTCACAGAGGAGGGTGGGAATTCAAGTGCAGCCCGTAAGGGTGCAGAAGCGTGTCTGCTGCTCCTGGTAACCCCAGGCATGGCCCCAGGCACCTGGACGGGGTGGGGGGGGCACCCAGTGCTCCAGGGTGGACACGAGGGAAGGAGAGCAAGCAGCCCCTTGGCCAGCCTGAGGGAGCTCACGCTTACCGCTTGGCCATGAGGTTGGTCACACTGGCTTCAGACAGAAGCCCCTGCTTGCTACATTCTTGGAGTAGGAATTTTGTACAGTCACAGCTGTGAGGGAAAAAGATCATGAGGGGCCGGGGCACACGGCAGGGATTATTGAGGGGAGGGAACAACAGGCACCTGCCTGGTCTCCTCCCTCCTTCAGGACGAAGAATGTTTTGAGTGCCTGAGGGATGGGAGACGGGCTCAGGCACTCAAGGGCCTGAAGGGGCTCAGGCTGCTGTCTCCTGCCCCTGCCAAGGGGCACGAACCAGGTGACAGCTCCCTGAGGTCTGTCTGGCACAGAGGAGCAGGGGAAGAGCCCATAACACCTTCCAGTAGAGCGGGGGTGAGCAGGGGAGTTCGTACTTGCAGCGCTGGTCAGCTTTGTCCAGCAAGGGTGTGAGCTTCAGCAGGAACTCAAAAGCACAGCTGACGTCCTCGGTAAAGTCCTACAAAGAGCCAGGAGCTGCCATCTGGCTTCTAGGCCCTCCAGTCCACCCATAGCTTGTGATGCAGGCTCACAAGGACACCCCGCTGGATAGAAACCCCGACAAGCCGGTCACACCCACCACCGGCTTGCAGTGACACGACGGGGAGGAGTGTAGAGGACCAGCACTCTACACTAGCCCTGGTCACCTTGGCCACCTCGCGTCCTGTGTGGCCCAGCCGCCTCTGTCTGGAGAACGGGTGTGTGCGCGTGGACACACGCAGATGTCAGGTGCACTCACATTTCCAGCCAGCCCCCAGGTGCAAGGACGCAAGACTGACCCTTCCCTTGCCCCGTTCCTCCCTTGCCCTTGTGGAAACAAGGATTCACCAACTCATTTCTCCAACTTACCTTGTCTCCGTGACAGTATTTCTTTAACTTCACCAAAACCTGTGGGATCTAGAGAGTGAGGCAAGAGGAGAAACAGGAAGAGCAATTTCTTCTCTTTCACCCAGAACTAAAGGCATCCCCTCCATCTCCCCACTCCAAGCAGAGAGACAGAAACCCTTCCACCCTGGAAATGAAAGCACTCTCAGGGCCAAGTTAGAAGGTGGCAGGCATCCAAGCATCCGGTGCCTGATGCCTACAGGACACAGGGACCCCTCACTTCTGCTGGCTCCACAAGGAATTCCCATAAGCCAAGGAAACCCTGATTCAAGGACTGGGGCCACTTCCCTGGCTCCCATAACTGCCCTGTGCCAATCTGGCTGATGACTGAGCTAAACGGCACCTGTGTGCTAAGAGATGGCAGGCGCCTGCCAAGTCAGCTAAATATAGCCCTGGGACTTTCAGAGAAAAGACTCGATGGGAACTTGCGCTGGGGGACCTGGCAGGCTGCGGACGATGCCGGTGGGGAGAAATGCGGGACAAAGATCCTGGGTGTCGCTGCTTTTCCTGAGAACCATTTCTAGACTGGGCGCTCTGTTGCTCCCACATCCCAGGTACCTTAACCAACTGAGCCACCCAGGTGTCCCTCACGTCCCAGGTACCTTGAGGAAGGTGAAAGCTGTCCACTTGAGCTCCTCTGTACCCTCGGGAGACTCGATGAGCCCCACAAAGCAAGCTTTCCAGATCTCCAGGACAAAAAGTGGGGTGGGAATATGCTGTGGGATGATCCGAGAGTGAAGCCTAAGAGGGTGCCCATCCCCCTTCATCTTCTGAAGGCCCCAGGGTGGGGGGCAGGTGGGGGCTGGTCAGGCAAGCTCAGAGACGGTACAAACAGGTACTGCCCCACTCCAGGGTGAGAAGCAGGGATGTCACGTGAAATGGCACCACCGCACATGACAGGGATCCGCTTTCCACCGCGAATCAGGAGAAATCCCCTTTCTCCCAAGAAGTACCAGAAGAATCCTCCCCATTGCCCCACGTAGCCAGCCCGCCATGTTGACAGAGAAGCAGCTCTGGGCCCCCCACCTGCATACGCTTCACCATCATCAACTGTTCCACCAGGGGCTGTGTCTCGCCTGTCAAGTTCATGGTGCCCTCGAGCAGGACCACCGCGTGGACCGTGGGGTAGCCAGTCTTATGCAGCTGCTCCGAGTGCACAGCCAGCATTGTGGGGATGCTGAAGGGAACAGATATACAGGGGACAGTGTGAGGAGCCAGGAAGAGGTGGAGAGCAGGTGAAAGCAGAGGGGTGGAGGCCAGGGGCCACAACTCCCCACCCACACCCAGGGCCCGATCAGCCTGGGAGCCAGGTACCTCCTAATGAGCGTGCCACACTGCTCAGCCTGGCTCCGGAGCTGGGGGTTGCTGAGACTGGCCAGGATCTCCCCAAGCTTCAAGAGAGAATGCTCAATGGCAGTCCAGGAGGCTGGTGAAGAAGAGGAAATGCAGACACACGATGGGAAACAGACGAGAGGAAGACACTGGCCCTGAGCTCAAAAACTTTGGCCCCCCTGGGCCCTCAAAACCACACATGGAGGTTTCCCCTGAGGATGACATGGAGGCCAGGGGCCTGAGGGCAGCATGCACTGTTTCTAGAAGGGGGGTGAGCACCAACAGTGAAGGCCCTAGAAACTAGCCCCAGAGGCCTGCCTTCTAGTGGAAGCACGCAGCCAACCTGAGAGCCTACGTATGGCCTAACACAGGCAGGGGCAGAGAGAGGCACAGCAGGGCTGGGGTCCAGTGGCTGGAACAGGGAGGTAGCCGCAAATCGCATCAGGAGTGGCCAGCCTTGCAAGTGGGCACCACTCTCCACGGCTGTCGAGCTAGATTCCTCACCAGCCTTCTGGATTCAGCCCTGCCTCACCCTGCTGAGGCCTCTGCTCTCACCGCCCACCCCCTCTGTAGGTGCCCCAGCTTGGCTCATTGCCACCTCTCAAACTCACTCTCCTCAAGCCTTTGTTCAAGCCCGGATACTTCAACAACTCACCCAATTGGTCCAACCCACTGACCTCTCCTCCTAAATGCTTGAAATGGTCTATACCGCATTATTTTGCACTTAATGCTGAGTCACTTATCCTAGTTACAACTCCACAGGGCTCGTTAACCTCCATGTGGCATGGGGGAAAAAAACCAAAAAGATAAGACCTGAGATCCATTAAAATTAAGTTAAATATTCATTTACTTTTCAAGCCACTAAACATTTGTCAAGGGATCAAGATAGGTAAGACACTGTCAACACAGCCCATTTTTATGGAGGGATCATCTCTCTGGACTTTTGACAGTAACAAATATACTTTGAGAAGTAACAAATATACTAATCCTAATAATAAATTCTCCAAACAGGTCCTGAAGACCTGGGTGTGACCCATTCTAGCATTCTTGTTACTGGGAGTGTAAGAGAGCCTTAGGTGGTCTCAAGCCACTACAAGACCATGGCCTTGGGCCCCATGACCAGAAACACCAGAGTCTCCCCTCCCACCAGGTGATCTGTCTCCTCTCAGACTCTGGAGGGTTCCAACATTTCACATCTGCACTTGAGTCAAGAGGTGCATGATCCAACAGGCCTGACAGCAGACAGGTACCATGTTTAAAGGGACGTGTTAGGCAACACTCAAACCCAAGAGTCATGTGCTTTCAGACGAGTAGTGTGAAGACAAACACAAGGATGGATGGTGTGCTTCTCTCGTCCTCTAATTTCTTCCATGTATGTTAATGTACTGGTCTTGCTCCCCACTAGCATGTATGTTTGTTGAGGGCAGGGACCCTGCCCCATGCTCCTTTGGTAGCCCCCCGCCCCCCCGCCCCCAGCACCTGGCACAGTGCTGGGCGTACAATAATGCTCAGTAAATACCTGTTGGTTGATTGGCTCGGGTGCCACCCTGCCCAAGTCCCTGGGATGTATGCAATGCTTATGGGGAGAAAAAAAAGGAAGTGGGATGATTTCAGATCCTCCTGGAAAGAAGTGGGATGGCATCCTGCCTCTCCCCTCTCAATTAAAGAACTGGCTATGGGAAGAGCGGCAGGCGGGGCTCAGGGGACCCAGGGGGACATACAGGCCTCCTCTAGTTTGGCGATGTGAAGCAAGGCCCGGTTCTTGGTGCTGCTGAGGGTCTTCTCCAGGCGCAGCAGACACATGGCAAGCTGCTTCTCCCGGGCCGCTGGAGCTGGAGCGCCGGCCTCCAGCCCCTCCCGGAGCCGCTCGGCAGA